AATTAACACACACATCAGCGCACAATTAATTTCCATACGAGCATCCAGCTGGATTTATGCATGGCTGCCCAGTGAATTCCCCGCTGGATCGAACGCTGCAGCTCCGTGCATGGGCGCCCTGATTGTTGATGCATGAGTGCCCAATTAATTGGCGCACGTGGCTGCAATTAGCTCATGCCTGAGTGTCCAATGAATTCATGCATGAGCACCTGATGCATTCACACCTGAGTGCCCAATTAGTACGTGCACAAGTGTGTTATCTCCTAATTACACTAATTTACACATGAGTGCCCAGTGAATGGGCATGTGACTGCTAAATTAATCCGTGCATGAGCGCCCCGCGAATTCATGAATGCCCAAAAAATGGATGTACGAACCCCCGGCTGGTTCATGCATGAGCGGCCTTTGCACTCTCACCACAGCACCCGGGCAGTTCATGCATGAGCACCCAATTAGTTCACCTAGAAGCACCCACATAATTAATGCACGAGTGCAAATTAGCGCACGCATGATCTCCCGGTGTGTTTTTGCATGAGTGCCCTTCTGGCTCAGACAGAGGTGCTCATGCATGGGGATGCATGAATGCCCCATTCCTTCACTTCTGAGCATCTATTGTGGGTGCCTCATTTCCCCCGGCCTGGGCACTGCTCTGGGCACCCAAGCAGGGTTAGGCAGCCCCAAACCCGATGGGAACCCCATCCTGGGATGCCCGGAGATCCTGTGAAGAAGCCACAGCAGGTCCTTGGTGGAAATAAATCCCACGGGACTGCCCCTGCCGTGACCCCGTGTGTGGTGCTGGACTTGTTGCCCGTGGGTTGGCACAGCTCATGAGCTGGCATAGTTGGAGTGCCCTGTGGCAGTGAGGGAAACCACTTTGTGCCTGGAAATAATTAACTGGTTTCCCTGATAAGCCTGCGGTGCCGACGGGATCAGGGTGCTTTCCTGGCAGCTGGGGCAAGGGGGGACGTGTGGGGGCTCGGGGGAGGCTCCTCACTGCTGCTGCGGGGACAGTGCTTGCCGAGCCTTCGGGAACCCAAATCCGCCCAAGGACGGAGCCAAAGGACAGTGCTTTTGGCACCCAGGGCTGTGCTGGGTGCGCACAGCCCTGCTCAGGGCACAGCTCTGAGGCCGTGGCCAAGCCCCTGGCCTTGCACCCAGTGGAAAGGATGTCAGCACAAAACAAGCCCCTGGGGGGCTGAAGCATCTCGTCACCTCATGCATCCCACCGTGACCGGGGGTCCCTGAACCATTCGAATCCTCCCTGCTCCCTGCGGCGGGGCGGCGGATGGGGATTTGCAGTCCCGGGTCCTTCCTCTCCTCTCCTCCCCTCTCTGCCTGGCAAACACAAATTAACAGGCTTGAGCACTGATTAACCAGAGCTGATTCTTGCTGCAGTGGCAGCTGGGTGGTGGGAGGAGAGGGGGCACGCGAAGGGCGGGTGGTGACGGAGCTGTCAGTCCTCGCCTGTGCCACTGGGATTGATGGAGAGGTGGGGGGAGAGGGCTGGGGGAGAGCTGGGTACCGGCAGCCGGGAGGAGGGGGCTGGGGGCTGCTCGGGGGCTCTGTCCCTCTGAGCTGGGTGAGACGTGAGACGCCGAAACCTTCCTCCCAGCTGGGGTGGGAGCGGGAAGGGACCGACCAGCGAAGAGAGGGGGCTCTTGGGGGCGGTTTGGCCGAGTGGGGCAGCTCCTGGGCTGCTCTGGGTGCTCCGAGTGCCTCTCCTGTCCCTGTGGGTGTTCTGGGTGCCTGTCCCTGTCCCTGTGGGTGCTCTGGGTGCCTGTCCCTGTCCCTGTGGGTGCTCTGGGTGCCTGTCCCTGTCCCTGTGGGTGCTCTGGGTGCCTGTCCCTGTGGGTGCTCTGGGTGCTGTCCCTGTGGGTGCCCTGGGTGCCTGTCCCTGTGGGTGCTCTGGGTGCTGTCCCTGTGGGTGCTCTGGGTGCCTGTCCCTGTGGGTGCTCTGGGTGCTGTCCCTGTGGGTGCCCTGGGTGCCTGTCCCTGTCCCTGTGGGTGCTCTGGGTCCCTGTCCCTGTGGGTGCTCTGGGTCCCTGTCCCTGTGGGTGCTCTGGGTCCCTGTCCCCGCTCTCTCCGCGCTGTCGCGGAGCGGGGCTGAGCGCTCGGGCCCGCCCCGCCGGGGCTCCCTGCTGGGCTCTGCCTCTTCCAGCGCTGAGGTTCGTAAGGAACGATAAAACTCTGCCTTTATTTAGCGCCTTTCACCCCCGAGGAGCCCGGGGCAGGCTGCTGCTGACGAGCTGTACGTGCACTGTTCATGGCCCTCCGCAGCGGTGCCGGGAGGGAGATGCGGGACAGAGGGACAGCCCTGTCCCCGCCGTGTGTCCTCGGTCCCCAGCCTCGGGTCAATCAGTAAGGTGTCCCCAAGGCTTCTGTGGCTGCACATCGGGCATTAGAATTCCTAATGTGCCGCTCGGAGCGTCAGCACCCAGCGGGGTCCGAGCGGCTGGAGAGTGGCAGCCGGGAAGTCATCATCTGTCCCGGATCTGTGACAGCATCATCTGTCCCGGATCTGTGACAGCACTCATCCTCTGTCCCGGATCTGTGACAGCACTCATCCTCTGTCCCGATCTGTGACAGACTCATCCTCTGTCCCTCATCTGTGACAGCGGGCACAGGGCGGCAGGTCCTGCTCAGTCCCCACCCTGGATCAGGGCTGGGGTGGTTCCCTGCCCTGGGAACACTCTGCCCCTGGGCAGAGGGAGATTTGGTGGCGGTGGAGGGGTGAAGGCAGAGCTGGGTGGTTTTCCAAGGTTTGGGAGATGGGGCCATGCTCCCACCTCAGCACAAACCCCACAGATTCCCCAGCGCCCGGGGCTGGAGGACAGGCACCGGTGCCTGTGTGCTGGAGGAGGGATGGGGCTCCGTGTGGCTCCATGCCAGGGTGCACATTACCAAATCCCTCATCGGGAGCCCTGTGCTGGTTTCCAGCCTGGCACCGGAGCGGTTCCCTCGGTCGGAACAGCCTCTCCCGGGAGCATCACGCGTCTCTCCTGCGGCTCGAGGGGCGCTGGCTGCGTCCCTCCCTCCGCCTCAGCCCCAGCGTGTCATTACCAGCATTTCTCCCGTACTAAAAAAAGCACAAATTTCTTAATTGTTTCCTGCTGGAGTTGAAAGACAGCTCCCAGGCCCAAAATAGCACGCTGGGGGAAAGCAGTCGAAAAAGAGAGAGCAGAAGGCGATTTGCCTGGAGGGGCTGAGCCGAGTTCTGACTGCAGCCCCTGCCCCGAGGGCTCACCCTCATCCTCCTCCTCCCACCTACCCTCATCCTCCTCCTCCCCCCTGCCCTCCTTGGTGCTCATGGGTGCCCGGGCCTGCAGAGCTGGTGCTGGGGCATCCCCTGGGCATCCTCAGGGTGGAGGTCAGGGCCGGTGTCTCAGTGTGGGTGTGTGCAGGGAGGTCTGTTCCTGTTGGAGATGTCACTTGGCATCTCTCTTTTGGAAGGATGCTTCTGTGTAACCTTTTTTTTTTTTTTTTTTTGTGATGGGGAAATCCCTTGGAGCTGCTGTGACTGATGTTTTAGCCCACCCCAGCTCGGCTGCTGGATGCAGCGTGTCCTTCCTGCCTCCCTCCTGCCAAGAGACCGCTGTGTGCCCAAAACAAACAGCCCTCCAACTCCCACCTGTGACACTGCCAGAGCCCTGTGTCCTTCAGGCCAGATGCTGAGATCCCTGTGCCTGCATCCCCTCTCCTGGGGAGCTGCTGAACACCCTGTGCTGCTTTTGCTTAACCCCAGGAAAATGGGGAAATTAAATACTCTGTCCCTCCAGTGACCCCTGTGCTGGGATGGAGGGACCCTCCAATGCATGGGGACAGCCTTGGGCACAGAAATTCCTGCTAACAGGGATGCTGGAGACAGAACCCAGCTGGTGATGAGGTGGGGGTTGTTGTGTGCCCTCCTGGCTGCCCCATTGCTGCCACCCCAGCCCTCACCTCTGAGCTCTGCACCTTCTGCCAGGCACGCTACAAATCCTCCTGATGGAAAATTGCTTTCTTTATTTTTCTTGCCATCGAAGGTAATTGGCATCTGTTGGTGTGTCTTTGGTCTCTATTTTTATCAGCCGTTTGCACATTGACATCTCCGCTCGCCTCATTATCCCCGTGCCTTGCAGACCTGTGGCTTTTCTATCATTATTTAGATGCATGACGCAAAGGAAATGACAAAAGAGGCCGTTCCCCCTCGTGCCCACCTGCTGGCACCTGGCTCCCCGCTGTGGGGAGGCACAGGCACAGCTCCTGCAGTGGGACATGCAGTGACAAGTGCCAGCCCCTGCCCAGCATCCCGCATCCCTCAGAGCCTTTCCTCTGCTGGGGACATTTTCCCTTGGCTGGGGACAGCTGAGGTTGCCAGTGCTGTCTGTTTGCTAGGTTGTTGTATTTTGGGTTTTTTTCCAGAGCCTGGTGAGGCTTCCCAGTGTTTCTCCAGAGACAGCTGGTACCTGGGCAGATGCCAGCCCTGGGGCTGTGCCTGTGCCCGCGCTCAGTGTGTCTATGGCAGGGCCAGGCAAGTCCCTTCCCTGAGCCGCCTCCAGGCAGATGTTCTGGCAGATGTTTTCAGGGTTGTTTTGGCCCTGGGAAATGAGATACCAGGGCCAGATCCTCCCCAGGCATGATCAGCTTTCATGGTCTGTCGTAGTTCTGCATTCCCTGAGCACAACACAAAATATCCTGGGGAGTCTCCCTGGTTTTGGGGGTCCCCAGCACCTGCAGCCCTGGCCCCATGGAGCACCTGGGCTGGCCCAGGCTGTGCCTCAAAAGCAGTTTCTGCCACATGGGGAGAACCTGGCAGCTCCTGGAGCCAGTGAAACCTGGGGCTTCAAAACTTGGCAGGAGCAAGTGAAACCTGAAATGGATTCCCCGGGGAATTCATTGTTGGGCGCCCCAGAGCATTCCCCAGGGAATTCACTGCCAGGCAGTGCAGAGGAACAGCTGTCACTGCAAAAGCACTAAATCCCTGTCTCTTTTTTTCTCTTTTCTCCCGTTTTCTCTTGCAGTCACAGAGAAGGAGGTGCAGCAGTGGTGAGTGCCCACCGTGGTGGTGAGCTGGGGCACGGGTGTGGGCAGGGGACGGGAGCTGGTGGCACTCAGCCACCCCGCTGGGCAGAGTGGGGACGTGCAGGAGGTGTGGGCAGTGCCCCTGTGCTGGGGTGCAGGTGCTGCCTCATAAAGAGGAGACCAGAAAGTAGAGGGGTTTTCCTTGCACAGTGGCTCTTCCCTCCCCATATGAGCATCCAAAGAGCATGGGGACATGGGGACTGTGCAGCTGGTGCCCTGCTGCAGGAGGCTGGTGCTGTCCCAGCACGTTCCCTTTGGCAGCAGGGTGCCAGGGGTAGGACCCACTGCTGGTTTCTTGCCAGCAGCACGCTCTCACTCCATCCCCTCCGCCCCACCGAACACAGCGCCCTAGAAAAGCCACTGCTTCCCTTTCATCTCCCTATCCCACCAGCCAAGGTTTGCTTTCTTTATCTCTTTCTCTCATCCTTCCCCCCCACCCGGTGAGTCATAGCTGCAGCAGCGTGAAAAAGATGTCACCGGCACTTCGCTTTCCCACCTCGCCACCCCCTTCCCCTCCTCCTCCAGCCCTTGTCCCGCTGCAGCGGGTGCCTGACAGATCTGGGCGATGTTGCATAATATTCACCCACCCCGCGTGGTCCCCGTGTGGTGCCACACGCTCCCCTGGTGCTCCCTTGGTGCTCCCTTGGTGCTGCCCACACCCATGGGCCAGCGAGCCCCTTCCCTGTGCCCTCCGGTGCAGCTGCACTTCACAGCACCCAGGTCTGGCTGGGAGCGAGGGCTTTTTGAGGTGTTAAAGCATTGATGGGTTGGGAAGTGACCCTGGCTGTGCCACCTGAGGACACAGGAGCCCTGCTGTGCGCCCCAGCTCCTCTGAGCAGCTTTCATTTGGGGTTGTGCAAAAATTGTCACAGAATATCCTGAGCTGGAAGGGACTCATCAGCGTAAGTCCAGCTCCTGGTCCTGCACATCCCAAGAATCCCATGTCCCTGCAACTGTTGTCCAAACACTTCCTGAGCTCTGATATCACCACTGCCCTGGAACGCCTGTTCCAGCCACCCACAGAGCTCAGTGGTCACTGTGCCATTGTTTATTTGCCAGGGCACGGCTGCAGCATGGCATCGCTGCCAGTCCTGGCTGGGCAGTGGGTCCCTGTCACCTCCCGTGTCCCACACAATGTGCAGCACAAACCTGCTTGTGGCCCTATTGCCACGTGTGGGCTGGCAGCAGCTTAGAGCCGTGCAGTGGCATCGCTGGTGCCGCTCACCGTTTGTCCCCGCTGCCACCCTCACTGTGGCACTCACGGGGACTCATCCATGGGGTGGGTGCTCCTGGGGACCTTCCCAGCTCCAGCCCACTGGGGGGAGCCCCCAGCCCAGAGGGGAGGCCCACGCTGTGCCCTCCACCCGCAGGTACAAGGGCTTTATCAAGGACTGTCCCAGCGGGCAGCTCGATGCCGCCGGCTTCCAGAAGATCTATAAGCAGTTCTTCCCCTTCGGTGACCCAACCAAATTTGCCACCTTTGTTTTCAATGTCTTCGATGAGAACAAAGTAAGTCTGGGACCCAGAGGTTCAGTCGGGGCGGTCAGGGCTGGGCCCGTGGTGGTGGTGGGATGGATTTGGAATGTGCCCGGCACTGGGGGAGCAAAACATTCCAGCACTTCCTGAGGCGTGAAATTGAAGTGGCACAGCTGGAGCGAGCCCCTGTGCTTGTTGTAGTTGGGGAGAGTGATGTGGGGAAGGGCAAAGCAGGAAGGGAGAAGCAGTGTTTTGGTGTCCTGACAAAAGCCCATCCCTGTGGTGCCCCTCACGCTCCAGAGCCGCTCCTGCTGGGATGTTCACTGGCAGCTGGATCACAGTGCTGGGAATAAGTGCATCACTCCTCCCTCCCTGCTGCCTTTCCAGATGTGCCCCCCTAGAGGGGATACATGGGCAGGGAGGACTTTGCTGGGCAGGAGTGGCAGCAGCACCCTGACCCCTCCTTTTCCCGCCAGGATGGGAGGATCGAGTTTTCGGAGTTCATCCAGGCGCTGTCGGTCACCTCCCGGGGGACACTGGACGAGAAGCTGAGGTGTAAGTGCTCCCCGTGGGATGCTGGTGGGCTCAGCCCCACGAGGGTGTGTGTCCAGGGCAGGGACCACAGTCCCAGCCCCTTGGGCTTGCTCTGTCTTGCAGGGGCATTTAAGCTGTACGACCTGGACAACGACGGATACATCACGAGGAACGAGATGCTGGACATTGTGGATGCCATTTATCAGATGGTGGTAAGAGAGGCAGGGGGGGCACAGGGCAAGCAGTCCCCTGGGGGTCCCTGCTGGGATGGAGCTCAGCTCTGTGGGAATGCTGACCACCCCCAATTCCTTCTTTGACCTTTATTTTGGTGGGGGGTTATGGCCATTGTGGCCGTCGTGGCCAGGGCAGTGTCTGGATCTGGCTGCTGAGGGTGGTTCTGGTGCCAGCTCTGTCCCCTTGCACCCTGATGTGGGGTGTGGGGGGACAATCTTGCCTGGGGACACCCTGGAGGCAGGACATGGATGGGTGAGTGACAGGTCCTGTCCTGCTGCTGCAGGGGAACACAGTGGAGCTTCCCGAGGAGGAGAACACACCAGAGAAAAGGGTGGATCGGATTTTTGCCATGATGGACAAGGTGAAGATGCTTGAGGGTTTTTTCCCTGTGGCCAAGGGATTCAGGAGGTGCTGTGGGTCCCTTTGCTGCATCCTGGCTCCTGCAGGTGCCTCTTTGCCCCATCGACACAAAGTCTGAACTGCTGCCAAGGTCACTGTGGGATCCCTGTGTCCATTCCAGGCTCTCCAGGGTGGCATTGTCCCCTGCAGGGCTGCAGCCGTGGGTGGCTCAGTGGGGTGGGGAGGGTGTGTGGGCTGTGTGGCCGTGCTGGGCTGTCGGGTGCTGGGCTGGGTGAGCGGTGCAGTGACAGGAGCGTTTTGCAGAACGCGGACGGGAAGCTGACGCTGCAGGAATTTCAGGAGGGCTCCAAGGCCGACCCCTCCATCGTGCAGGCGCTCTCCCTCTACGATGGGCTCGTATAGTCCCGGGGCCGAGCGGCGGTGAGTGCGGTGCCAGGGGCAGCCCCATCTCCCCATCTGCCATTCCCGCCTCCCCCGGGCTCAGGCAGCTGATTCTCCTCTGCTGAGGCACCAAAACATGGATATCCTCCCCAAATCCAGCCGGGGGGAATGCTTTCCCCATTCTGATAGGTTTCTCCCAGTCCTCCCTGTGTCACAGAACCCCCTCAGACCTCGTCCCGTGGAGATGGAAATGTTTGCCTGCAGCACAGCTCGTGCTCTCACCAGCAGATGTGGCCGCAGAGGAGGCAGGGAGGCAGCTGGTGTGCTGGGGGCATGGGGACACTCCAGAGACAGATTATATTAAATGTTTTATTTATCTTATATTTATTATATTATGTTATGCCCTGGAGCTGGGTTTGGCAGGGACACTGGTTCACAGCATCACACAGGTGCTGGCCTGAGCATCCCGTGGTCCTCGTTGTGCCCTGTGGAGCTGTGCAGAGTCCCTCGGAGTGTTTTTGGTCATCACAGTCCAGGCAGTGTCCTGGGGGTGGGGTGTTTTTAACCCCACTGGAGTTTTGAGATTTTCAGTATCTATTCTCTTTCTGGCCTTGCCCTTCCAGCTGTGCTGGTGTCTCATGAGATGGCCACAAGGATTTCTGGTCGTCCTTCTCACCCCGTTTCCCTCCATCCACCCTCTCCTGCAGATGCTGGGGGAAGATGCTCTCTGTGCCATCCGACCACCGCCGTGCGAAGCTTGCCTGTCCCTCCCGGCCTTCCTTTCAGTTCTGCGAGCAAGGAGTGCCCTCACAGCGGGGCTCACTCCCCTCTCTGCACCCTGAACAGCCGCTGCCATTCGCCAACTTCTGCTTTTTCCAAAAAACCCCCGTGCCAGAGCCCGGGCTGAGCGGCGGCCGACGTCCAAGACTCCAGGGCCGGGGGAATGGCTCGAGCAGCGTCGCAGGCAGAGCCCCCTCGGCCTCCTCGCCCCCTTTCTCCCTTTTTCCTACATTTTGGGATGGGACTGCGGATGCGCCGGCGGGATCCTCTCTTGGGAAGCGGCCGGAGAGGAGCCCGAAGGCAGCGGGGGCTGCACCCCCCGGGTCTGTCCCTGCGGGGTGCCCGGGGAGCCGAGGCACCGCCAGAGTCTGGGAACAGAGTCCTGGCATCACCCACGATGCCGCTGGCAGCCCGGCTCGGCTCACTAGGGATATATATTATATTATTATTTTATTTTTTCTGGTGAGACAGTATTGTGCTTTTTGGTTTGGTTTTGTTTTATTGGTTTTTTTTTTTTTTTTTTTCCCTTCGGTGGAAAAAAAAGTGAGGCTTTTTTTTATATGCCCAATCTCGACGATCGATATCCTTATTTATTTGTTGTAAATGTTGCTGCTGTGTTTTGTCTCTCATGCGTGTGTCCACCCACCCAGGTGAGGATTTGTAAGGTTTACATGCTCGTATTGCGGGGACCCGGGAGCCTGCAATAACAATGAAGCCAAAAATCTGCCTTCCCCCCTCTCCTCCCACCCCCTGTATCCCAAGCTCCGTGGGCTGGCTGCTGCTTGGAGGGGATGCTGTAGCTTCTGTTCCTGTTCCCGTGTTCCCTGCATTTTTCTGTTCACCCTTAGGGAGCCCAGTGAGGGCTCATCAGCCCAGCCTGTGAGCAGAGCGAGCTCCATCCCTCCATCAGGCAGGTGAGGAAACTGCTGGGCGCCAGAACATCGCTGTGTCCTCCCTTTTATTCATTTTCTCGCTGCACGAAAAAGTATTCACAGAGCCCAGAGTTGGGTTGTGCTTTCAAGCAGATCCCTTTGCTGTGTTCTGCTTTGCAGATGGGGGAAGGTGTTTGGTGGTGGCTGTGAAGCACCCTGTGTGCTGGAGGGGCAGAGGGGAGCCTTGCTCTGTCCTGTTCCCATCCCAGCTGGGCCAGGGTGGCAGGGCAGTGCCAGGCTGGGCTGAGCACAGCTCAGGGTCTCTCCTTCCCCCACCACTCCCACAGGACATGGGAGGTTTTGCTGTGTCTCTAAGCAGAGCTGCTTGCACCCAGAGGCCTTTGGGACCCCTAAAGCCACCCTGGGGCCTCACCCTTCCACCTCTGGTCCAGCTGATGGTAGCAGCATCTCTGCACACAGCTGCCTCCCAGCTGCTGTGGCTAAGCCCAGACAGAGGACTGTCCCCACGGCAGTGGGAGGTGACATCTGGGTGTGGGGGACAGTCTGACAGTGTCTCACAATGCAGGAGACAAGGTGGTGCCTCAGCATTCCCTGAATCCTCCTGGCATGGCCTGGACAGATGTCCCAGCCAAGGGATGCTGGTTCTTCACCGTGCAACCCCACTCCCCAGTTTTGGGATTTTGTGCTTGTGGTACTTCTTGATGCCCATGAAAAAATCATCTTTCCCCATGCCCAAGGAGACTGACCTCACGTCCACGTGCAATATTTCTGCCTCTTCTGCAGTTCCTGCCCCTGAGGATGCCCATGTTTCACTGTGGGGGTGCTTCTGGAGGGTGACCTTCACTCACTCCCATGGAAACCCTTTTCCTTGTTGCTCTGTGGCCAAAATGCAACTCTTTGGGGTAGGATTTTTTGCAGTGCCTGCAACTTGTTGAATGCTCATCTGCCAGACCGGTCCCCTCCTGGTGCCAATCAATGTTCCCAATGAATGTGACACTGCTGTAATCACCTCTGCTGATGAATGATGGCCCCTGCCACGTTTGACGTAGTTCCCAGGCAAAGGCAAACCTCATTTACTCTGACACTGTTCCCTGGAAAGCTTTTAATTTTTGGAGGACCTGTCATGGGCTGAGCTCCATCAGTGCTCACAGATGTCTCCCCAGGGAGTCAGCCCTGCCAGGGCTCTCAGCACGCTGTCTGTCCCCAAGCAAAGTGTTTTGGCCCCAGTGTTCCCCCTTGGCTGTGGATTTGGGACCCTGGCTTGGATGCTTCTAGTCCCACTTTTGGGGGAGCACTCAGGGCCCCTGATTCCTCCTGACCACCACCAGGGTCTGCAGTGTCTTGATATCACTGAAAATAAGGCTTGGAGCATCTCATGTTTGGAAATGTCGGCCTTAACCTCCTCGTGCCTCAGTTTCCCCCTCAGCGGAGTGGCTGGGGTGAGCCATTGCCCTCTGGAAAGCAGTTTGGTGTCTGTGCCCTGGCAAGCACGAGTGCTGGATGTGGCTCAGGACTGCGGGCACAGGGCTTGGCAGGACCCACCGAGCCCCAGGCACGTGCAGAACCCCGGGAACAGCGTGTGGAACACTGGGTTTGTCAGGGAGTCTTTAATGCCAGCCTCTGTTTTACACCTGCTCATGAGGAAACAGGCAGCAAGCCCTGCTTTGTCTCTGTTCACACTCGGGCTCCTGGTCCTGTCCCAAACAGAGCCCTGGCCGTGGGAAGGGGCCCAGAGCACAGCCAGGCAGAGGTGAGGCTCCAGCCCTGGTGACTGTGGCATGTGCCCCCCTCTCATTTGTCCCCGTCGGTGTTGCCCCATTAAATGCCATGTCTGTCCTTTCCTTTCTTTTCACTTTTCTGTCTGTGTGCTGATTGTTGCTGCTTTGTGTCCGTCTTTCCTTGAGCTCTGGGGCTGGGCTGAGCTGAGCTGTTTCCCCCAGGAGCAAGAACGTGGGAGAGGGCTCTGGGGGCAGATTCCCCCCTGCCCTCTCCTCACAGCACAAACCAGGACCCAGGAGAGAGAGAAGTGAAGGTTTTTTCCTCTGGGGCAGGCTGTTAATTAATGCAATTTATAACGAGACCAGGCTGGTCCCGGGAGTGCTCTCCGTTGGGTTGGTGGAGGGGGGTGTTTGCTTATGGGGGACCCCAGACCCTGTTTGTGCCAGGTCCCAGCTGCACCTCACCCTCCTTCAGAGGAGCAGATGCCTGTTGGTTCTTCCCGTGCCAGCAGGACACCACGTTCCTGTTGGATGGGAGGCTGAGGCTGTGGGAATCCCAGCCCAGGTCTCTGCTCTTCAGTGGGCAGGGATGCAGCTGCCCAGAGGGTGGGATTGTCTTGGAGTCTTGGGGTCTGGCTTTGAAGCAGGGCATGGGGGCAGCTGAAATCACTGGCAGAGCTGCCCCCTTCCCATGTATTTAGGATTGGGGGGTCATTTGGGATGGGTGAGTGACCTGCAGCCAACTCACTGTCCCCCATCCAAGGAGGAGATTTGGGGCATTTAGTGAGAGCATCTGTCACCTGTCCTTCCTGGGACAGAAGTGAGGGCTGAGGGCAAAGGAGGGAGCTGATGGCCCCATTCTCACTGCAGTTTGGGGTGCAGCAGTTTTGGGGTCTCAGTTACACATTTCAGCCCTGCCTATTCCAGCAGCAGTGCAGAAAAGTCATCCTTCCCTTCTCTCTCTGCCCGTGGCCACCAGCCCTGGGCTGGGTGTCCTGTGCCACAGGTGTGACCCCTGCCCAGGGGTGGCCGAGCCCTGGGCTGGGAAGCAGCAGCTCCAGCAAAGAGCCTTGTTTGTGGAGATGAAGCCTGTGTGTGCGTCCGTGCCGGTGTCTCGGCTTGCATGCCCCGCTGCCTTGTCTTGAGATGAATTCAAGAGCAAACCAAGCAAATGAAACAGTTTAATAACAGAACAAAACAAAACCCAGGAACTTTGTGACAGTGGAAATAAAAGCTTAATGACAGTAATGAAGTGGCAGTGGTCTGTGATGTGTTGGGGTGGGGGCTGGGAGCCGAGCTGGGGGTGTCACTGTCCCGTGCCCCAAGCGCAGGGCTGGGATGGGACCAGCACAGGTGTAAATTGGGATGCTCTGGGCTCTGTGGGTAGTCAGTCAGGCAGGCACTGTGCCCACACTGTGATGAGCTGCCAGGTCTCAGCTCCAGGCATCCCAGGCACCCTTCACCCCCACGACACTGCTCTTCCCACCTCCTTTAACCCAGACACAGCCTTCCCTCTTCTGGGTCCCGTCCTGACACAGTGCCTGCAATGTGTCCTTTTTTTCCCTTTTACAATGCAGACACAGCCGTGTGCCCGTGGGCACTGTCCCTGTCCCCTCTGAGCCCCCTCGTTGATGCAGCGGGCTGGGAGCCACTGGGTCACTTTTGGCACAGTGGCTGCAGAGGAATCTGGCTACAAATATCCCACAATTGTGTCCCAGTGCCCGGACGTGCCCCTGGGCAGCCCCCCTGCTCCTGGCAGGGCTCACAGGGGGCTCACAGCCCGGACTGGGTTTTGACGAGCAGCCTTGGCCATTCTGCTCTGCCAGCTCTTGTGGAAACCCTGCCAGGCCTCCCTGGCAGCCCATCCCCTGTGTTTGCTCTCCTAACGAGGCTGACTAATTATTTCCGGGAGGCCAGGGGAGATGCCCTAATGGTCCGAACAAGGAGGCTGTGTTTGTGCAGGGGGTTTTGTCCAGGGGTGCTTTGTGCCAGCACATGGTGGGAGCTCCCAGGGATTCCTCCCCTGTGCCATGCAGTGGGCAAGGAGAGGCACAGGCCCCCAGCCACGGTGGTTACCCAGGGGCTGTGCCTTAACCCCCAGCAGGGAAGGGGTTAAAGCCCAGCTAGCATAGGTGCTCCTGGCACTGGGAGCACTGGTGAGTGTGGTAAGGGCTGGCTGGGATTCATTTGGTGATGAGAGGAAGCTGTTGGGGTGTTTTTTGTGCCAGCAGCGCTGGTGCTCCCTGCCAGGGTGCAGGATGGAGCTGGCATGCAGGTTGGGGACTGGGGATGATCTAAGGTAGGTTTTGTGGCATTTTGGGGTGGGGGACTCCCCTCAACTCTGTGGGGCTGGGAGTGCAAAGCCTGGGGGAGTGCAAGCCCTGGCCACTGGCACAGCCCCAGGGGCAGAAGTGCCACTGTCCTGCTGTAAGGGGGATGTCCTTGCTCTGAGGTTGGGCTAGGCTGAGCCCACGCTTGCAGGGATAAAGGAATGCACAGGGATAAAGGAATGGCCCCACTGTCCTTGGGTGTGGGTTATGAGACCTGTGATATGCAAGGTCCCCCAGCTCCTGCGTCTGGGAGGAGCAGGGCTGCTGCTGGGGGTGCAGGAGGTGCACAGCTTCACCTGGAGCCGGTTTTGGCCATGGCTGAGCCCCGGCTGCTGCTGCGGGGGAGTTGAGCAAGAGCAGAGCATCCCTGCGGAGCAGCCGTGAGCTCAGCGCTCCTCACTCCCAGCCAGCGCTCCCGGCCAAGCGCCGCCTGTCCCAGCCCATGTCCTGGCTCCGGCTCTGTCCCCGCTCTGTGACTCTTTGCTCCCTCTCGTGGGGTGGCTGAGCCCACCCGAGCCCCCCACTGAGCCCCCCAACCTCCAAACTCCATTGCAAACCCCCATTCCAGGCCCTTTGCCCAGCAAGGGGGAGTTGGAGTCCTTGGGGCTCCTTTCCCAGCTGTTTGACAGAATTTGGCAGGGTTTCCTCCCAGGTGCTCAGCGGTGACCCCCATGTCCTCCCCTCACCCCCCAGCAGCGCAGGGGCTCTCTGAGCCAGGGGGTCGGCGCTGGGGAGGGCGTCTGGGCAGCGTTCCTGACAATCCCGTGGGCTGCAGGATCTGCTTCCCGATCCCTCTATCTCCATCCCCATTTCCTCCAGCTCCCACCCACCTCCCTGCCGCGTCGCTGGCTCCCAAAGTCCGCTTTTCCCTCCCGCCCTCGCTGCTCCCTCCCAGAAGTTGAAGGCTGGAGGAGCAGGTCGGCAGCTGCCCGGGGTCCCCTCTCTGTCCCCGCCGCGGGTGGCCCCTGCACACCGTGTCCCTCCCTGCCGTGGGGACGGTGCCCACGGGCACAGGGACACAAGGGGTGCTGACACCCGAGCGTGTCCCCCACGATGCCACCCCAGCGAGGGGTGCTTGTGGGTCTCTGGATGCTGCTGGCCCTCAGTGTGGCCGAGAGCCCCCCAGGGTGGGCCACCCTCGCCTTTGTCTTCGATGTCACCGGCTCCATGTACGACGACCTGGTGCAGGTGATGGACGGGGCCTCGCGCATCCTGGAGAGGACGCGCAGCAGGAGCACCAAACCCATCAGCAACTACGCTCTGGTGCCCTTCCATGACCCAGGTAGGTCCAGGACAGGGTGGGGTTGTGGCTCTGGCTGGGTCTGGCTCTGAATCATTCACTCCACAACTGCTTGCACTGCCCCTTCTCCCTGTTTTTAATGCCCTGCCGACTGCTGTGCTGGGGATGGCACCTCAGCAGCAAGGGGCTGGGCTCCTGTCCCCAAGCCACCCTGTGGGGGTTGTTTCCACTGTATTAATCCCAGGGGTGCTCTGTTGTGGGTGCCTCTTCCCCTTCCATCCTGCTCTAATCTCCCTGGAACAATGATCAGGGGATTTCTGTCCAAGTCCACAACGTGCTTCCAGGTCACCTCAATAAAAACATCACTTGCTAAGAGGCTTTGGTGACTTGCTGTGATACCAGAATAGTTTCTGTCTGCCCCTGCCTTTGTCTTCTTTTTGTGCACACCCATAAAAGAGCAGCTGCTCCCCAAAAGATCCCTGGCCTCCTACAAGGAGAGAGGGACTCAAGCTTTATTTTCAGCAGAAACACTGAGTTGAGTGAAAACCACTGGAGCCAGACAGGGAAGGAGCAGAGGTGGTGAATGAATTCCTGCATTGCTTTGCTGGGAGCCTCCCCCAGCAGAAAAGGGCACTGGGTTTGCAGCTCACCCTGGCTGGACCACCCAGCGTGTTGGGAGAAATTCCTGGGCATGGGAATTGTTTGCCAAAGTGGGCACAGTAGGGCACAGGGGCTGGTCTGCCCAAACCCCCTCTCTGCTGGTGCCAAGCTGGGGTAGATGCTGGACTCTGGGTCTCACAGGTGTTAGAGCCAGGGCAGGTGCCAGGAGCACCAGCAGCGTGGGTGGTGTTGGAAGGAGCTGGGGCTGGGCTCGGGGCACTGAGGTGGTGGCATCCATGTGCTTGCAGAGGTGGGACCTGTCACCCTCACCACGGATCCCCAGCTCTTCCAGCAGCGCCTGCGGGAGCTCCATGTCCAGGTTGGCATCCTCAGCCCCACGCTGCTCTGCCAGGCCTTGGCCCTTGGGGGGAAGCCTGGCACTGCATGGTGGTGGGTCCTGGGGGCAATCCCTGCATCCCCCACAAGTGGGATGGGGGGTTCAGGCTGAGCCAGACTGGCTGGGAGCTGCACACAAGGGTGGGAATGGAGAGGATGGGTAACACTGGAGCTGAGCCCCAGAGTCCTGCAACAGGGCAGAGAATTCCCAGTCCACAGCTCTTGTCCCTAATAGAGATGCTGTTCCCAGGAGAGTTTCCACAGACTCTCCATGGAACCAAAATTCTCTTCTTCTACAACCACTGCCTGATAATTGAGTTTTTAATTTCTGGGTGGTTTTTTTTTTTTTTGTTTTCTTTTTTTTAAATTACTTTGTTTTCTGCCAGCTGAATTGTTCCCCAGGAGCTTAATCCTGCTTTATCCATCCCCGCTCTTGCCCTGCCTCCCGTGAATTGCCAAATCCCTGTGGCAATTTCCCTTCGGATGCAGCTGTTTTGGCAGGAGGTGTAACGCTGAGGCTGCAAATGGTTTCCCAGCCCTTAGGGGTGCCAAGCCCTGGGAAAGTGGGAGCTGGTCCTCTCTGTGCCAGTAGGCTTCCCTGGGGTGGCTCTGCAGCCACAGGGGTGGGCACAAATGTGCCCACTGAAGGTATCTGTGGGAAACCAGTGAGCATGGACCCCAAATGGTGCTTTAGTGATCCTCATCAGTGAGCCAGAGCCGGGTCTGTGCGATCCTGAGTGTCCCTGCAGCTCCATCCCGCTGACTGCAAGAGGATGGGATGGTTTGTCCCTGTGAGCACCCCCGGTGGGATGCTGGGTGGCTCCGTGCCTGTGCCACCTCCCTGCCTGTGTCCCTCAGGGCGGGGGGGACTGCCCGGAGATGAGCGTGGGGGCCATCAGGGTGGCCGTGGAGATCTCGCATCCCGGCTCCTTCATTTACGTCTTCTCGGATGCTCGGGCCAAGGACTACGAGCAGCAGGAGGAGCTGCTGCGGCTGCTGCAGCACAAGCAGAGCCAGGTGAGCAGCCCTGCTGTGACAGCAGGAGCACTGCGACAGTCCTGCCCCATCAGGATGGGAAACCCATGGTGGGCTGGCAGGGACCACGGGTGTTTCCAGCCAGCTGGAGACTGCCCAGCTCCCCATTGACAGAAAGAGCTGAGCGTGCACGCATTTATTTGTGTTTTTAACGTGTGTGAGCTCAGCTGTGCAGTAACAGCACCGCAGCAGCGAGATGCAGCGATAAAACCCCTGGACTGGGGGGGAATTTTGCACCCCCCAGGCCGATTCGATGTGCTGGGATGCTGCTGGGTGGCAGCTGTGTCCCCTGCCGTGGGTGGCCGGGGTGTCACGGGGCCGTTGCTGTGGCAGGTGGTGTTTGTGCTGACGGGGGACTGCGGGGACAGGAGCCACCCTGGGTACCGCGTGTACGAGCGCATCGCTGCCACCAGCTCTGGGCAGATCTTCCACCTGGACAAGCAGCAGGTGACTGAGGTGAGTGGGGACACCTGGCCACCAAAGTGAGCCTGTGCCTGTTGGGGAGGGGAGATGCAGGTTTCACCCTCCCCTGACTGCCTCCAGGTGCTGAAGTGGGTGGAAGAGGCCATCCAGGCTTCCAAGGTCCACCTGCTGTCCACGGACCACGAGGATGGTGGGGAGAACACGTGGCAGGTGCCATTTGATCC